GACATATATATATATAATATAATACTGTATATATGTTGAACCTAGCAGCCAGAATGCACTTCGTGGCCTACTATGCAAGGCCCGATTTGCCTAATAGGCTGAATGATTTTCTTTATTTTCAAAATATTGTTTCCAATTAGTTTATTTGAAATACTATTATTATATTATGTTAAGTACATAAATTTTTGACTTAGTTATGTTCGATAAGGTTAGGTTAAAATAGGTTAGGTAGGGTTGGTTAGGTTCGGTCATATATCAACACTTAATTTTAATTCAAGTTAAAGAAAATTAACTCATACATAAGGAAATGGATAGGTTTATCATTTCATAAGAAAAAAATTAGAAAAATATATAAATTTAGGAAAACTTGGCTTATATGGCAAATCGGGCCTTACATAGTAGGCCGAGTACAACGTTTTGGCTACTAGGTACAATATATATATAATGCATGCATGCATGCAATTGACGATCGATCTCAAAACACTGATCATTTTATGCGGAAAATCCACAGAAAAATACGAAACCAAGTGAACGTTTCGGCCTGTTAAAGCCTTTGTCAACACAAGACTGACTGAATATATATATATATGATCATACTTCATAGGATCAATTCTATAGTATGATTGCCGAGTTCCAGTCAGTCTTGTGTTGACAAAGGCTTTAACCCTTAACATGCTGGGGGTTTAATATCCTGTCATCCCCACAGGCGCATGTTATTTTGAAAAAAAAAAATGATTTTTTCTTCCTAACCTGTTAATTTGTGTTCACTGATCACGGGAAAAATAATAAAAAAATCGTAAGTGGCATATATTGCCCGTTATAGGGCGGGGAAGTCTGGCAAATTATAGGCGCTGACTCAGCATGCGTCCCAGGCGGTCTGTTGCTCGCCAACTGTCAGGCCGGAGTTGCCACAAAGAGATAATTACCTAATTATTTCAATGTCCTTACCTTGAGGTTACCTTGAGGTGCTTCCGGGGCTTAGTGTCCCCGCGGCCCGGTCGTCGACCAGGCCTCCTGGTTGCTGGACTGATCAACCAGGCTGTTAGACGCGGCTGCTCGCAGTCTGACGTATGAGTCTCTGATTGATTTTTCATAGTTTTTTTCCTGTAATATTATTCAAAAGTGTGTAGTTTGATATATTTATATAATAAAATGAGTGAATCATTGCTGTACTCAAAAATATGGTGTGCATATTGTTGATTCAATTATGTTCATCAATCAGTGAACAAATATTTTGTCGATTATTACACTATAAGCACAGGTTATATATAAGTATCTGCATGTTTTGTTCACTATAACGAACCACTAAGTAGCTATTATGAGTCAAAAAGTAACGAGGAGTGATCGCCGGGTACCAGCCAGCCACTCCCGCCCTCCCTCCAGTCATCTGACTCACCCACATTCTCCTCCCACAATACTGTTTTTGCTATAATTCACTATATACAGACGTTATATATAAGTATTTACATGTTTTGTTCACCATAACTGTACATCTAAGCTTGTATGGTGAGTAAAGGCACAGACGTAGGACCTCACACAGCTGACAGCTGCCGCCCTCAAGGCCAGACCCACTAATATTTCTCCTCCAACAATACTGTGTGGTGTTATTACGCTATATATCTTATATACAGACGTTATGTATAAGTATTTACATGTTTTGTTCACCATAACTGTACATCTAAGCTTGTATGGTGAGTAAAGGCACAGACGTAGGACCTCTCACAGTCAGCTGATAGCTGCCGCCCTCAAGGCCAGACACACTAATATTTCTCCTCCAACAATACTGTGTGGTGTTATTACGCTATATACACACACATTATATATAAATATCTACCTGTTTTATTCACCGTACTTGCACAAATAAACTGGTATGGTGCCCAAAGACCATCGTGGTAACCAGTAAACAACACCGTCGTCTGCACGGTGGCATCGTGCAGACGACGCCACCGCCCTCACCAAAATGGCGGCTCCAAACCTTCTTTTGCTGTTTATACCCTCTATACACACGTTATATATAAGTATCTACATTTGTGTTCACCATAGCGAACCACTAAGCTGGGGTGCTGAGTGCAGTCAATAAAAGGTGGCCACACACAGTCAGAAGACATCGCCACCACCCTCCCTCCCACAGCATTACTCCTCCCTCCATGGCGCACAGCGCTAAATATCACCACAATCCTGCTATTATCAGAACCCTGGTCAGTTTTTATCACAGTCAGGGGTCTTCTGTAATAATATCATCGCTACATAATAGCACGAACAAGTATATTTTGGCATTTTTAGGCGATGCTGTGGTCACAAGCTGAACAGCAGTGCTGTTAGCTCATGCTGCGTGCGTCAGGCTTGGTTGCTCACTCAATACTGAGGCTAATAACACCCGGGAGTTTGGCCCACGATTTTTTTTTAAAATGGCGTCTGTTTACAAGAGCCCTGATGAAGGTGTGGTGAACCCTGTGTATCCGCGGGCCGTTTAAATCTTGCATAGTACTCCAACACATCATATGACGTGATGCGCAGTTGACTGGAACAACGTCCAACACGTCATATGACGTGATGCGCACTTTAAGGGTTAACAATCCGAAATGTTCACTTGCTTTCATATTTCTCTGTGGATTTTCCACATGTTCGGTTTTAATTAAATATTTTAAATATATATATATATATATATATATATATATATATATATATATATATATATATATATATATATATAGGGGGTGGTACCACCACTGGTGCAATTATAGGGACCCACAGCCTCAGAGAAGGGAACACAGAGCATTCAGGGAAAAATTTGCCATTTATATATATATATATATATATATATATATATATATATATATATATATATATATATATATATATATATATATATATATATATGTCGTACCTAGTAGCCAGAACGCACTTCTCAGCCTACTATGCAAGGCCCGATTTGCCTAATATGCCAAGTTTTCATGAATTAATGTTTTTTCGGCTACCTAACCTACCTAACCTAACCTAACCTAACTTTTTCGGCTACCTAACCTAACCTAACCTAACCTATAAAGATAGGTTAGGTAGGGTTGGTTAGGTTCGGTCATATATCTACGTTAATTTTAACTCCAATAAAAATTTTTTTACCTCATACATAATGAAATGGGTAGCTTTATCATTTCATAAGAAAAAAATTAGAGAAAATATATTAATTCATGAAAACTTGGCTTATTAGGCAAATTGGGCCTTGCATAGTAGGCTGAGAAGTGCATTCTGGCTACTAGGTACGACATATATATATATATATATATATATATATATATATATATATATATATATATATATATATATATATATATATATATATACTGTATATATGTTGTACCTATTAGCCAGAACGTCGTACTCGGCCTGCTATGCAAGGCCCTATTTGCATAATAAGCTAAGTTTTCCTGAATCAATATATTTTCTTTAATTTTTTTCTTATGAAATGATAAATCTGCCCTTTTCATTATGTATGAGGTCAATTTTTTTTAATTGGAGTTAAAATTAACGTAGATATATGACCGAACCTAACCAACCGTACCTAACCTAACCTAACCTATCTTTATAGGTTAGGTTAGGTAGCCGAAAAAGTTAGGGTAGGTTAGGTATTCGAAAAACATTTAATTCATGAAAACTTGGCTTATTAGGCAAATTGGGCCTTGCATAGTAGGCTGAAAAGTGCATTCTGGCTACTAGGTACGACATATATATATATATATATATATATATATATATATATATATATATATATATATATATGCGAACAAGCCTGAATGGTCCCCAGGACAATATGCAACTGAAAACTCACACCCCAGATGTGACTCGAACCCATACTTCATTAGATTACCCAAGATTACCCAAGATAGCCCAAGATTACTATCCGAGTGCCGGCGGTGGGGTGGTTCAAATAGCCTCGGCTATCACCTCATTATGTCCGGTCGTGATGGTCAAGTGGATTAAGGCGTCTTGTACATACCAGTTGCGTTGCTTCTGGGAGTATGGGTTCGAGTCACTTCTGGGGTGTGAGTTTTCAGTTTTATATATATATATATATATATATATATATATATATATATATATATATATATATATATATATGTATGTATGTATGTATGTATATGTATGTATGTATGTATATGTATGTATGTATGTATATGTATGTATGTATGTATATGTATGTATGTATGTATGTATGTATGTATATATATATATATATATATATATATATATATATATATATATATATATATATATATATATATATATATATATATATATATATGTCGTACCTAGTAGCCAGAATGCACTTCTTGGCCTACTATGCAAGGCCTGATTTGCCTAATAAGCCAAGTTTTCCTGAATTATAATATTTTCTCTCATTTTTTTCTTATGAAATGATAAAGCTACCCATTTCATTATGTATGAGGTCAATTTTTTTTTATTGGAGTTAAAATTAACGTAGATATATGACCGAACCTAACCAACACTACCTAACCTAACCTAACCTATCTTTATAGGTTAGGTTAGGATAGGTAGCCAAAGAAGTTAGGTTAGGTTAGGTTAGGTAGGTTAGGTAGTCGAAAAACAATTAATTCATGAAAACTTGGCTTATTAGGCAAATCGAGCCTTGCATAGTAGGCCGAGAAGTGCGTTCTGGCTACTAGGTACGACATATATATATATATATATATATATATATATATATATATATATATATATATATATATATATGTATGTATGTATGTATATATATATATATATATATATATATATATATATATATATGTATGTATATATATATATATATATATATATATATATATATATATATATATATATATATATATATATATATATATATATATATACATACAAGGGACGTTTTATTACATTCAGCATTTTATGTTGTTTGTGTCAGTAAACAAATTTTCTAGATTTTTGTTTGTTTATATAAATTATTAATTAAATATTTTAATCCACAGGCAGAGCAACTCAGTCATGGCTATCTACTTGACATCTTGATTCTTGTGCCCTTGGCAGTAATCTGGGCATTTATTCCAAGTGATGGTCTTGCAGTAGTCACTCATTGGTTCTTAAATAAAGTAACCCAAATTCTGCTTCACCTACCTTACTCAAGAACTTTAGAAAAAGAAGCAGATTCAGTTGGATTGCAGTTAGCTGCAAAGGTAAGATAACAAGTGAAATTTTCTAAGCATTGATATTTAGAAAGAGGCACAATAAAATGACACCACACATTATCCTAACAAATGTAAGTATGCTACATGCTGAAATATTTGTATATATATAATAATGATTCTTTAAACATTACTACTACTGCTACATTTTCCTAATGTTGTGTTACTGCTGCTGCTATTTTGCTGTTTATTGTGACAATAAACATTTATTGTGGACATATTATTGACATGTATCACAGTTCCATGGAACATTATGAATGGTTTACTGTATATATATTGTAAAAGACACAATCATGCATCATATACGATAAAAATAAACAAATAAAATCCGCATTGGAAATACATAGAACAAATAATTGAAAACATATTTGTGGCAACTTGTGGTGCTTGAATGGCCCGCGTGACAGCCTCTGGGAGCTACATGCACGAGCAACCAGCTCCTGATGACGTCACAGCTTACCTTGTCCACGTCCCTACAGCCAGAGTAAGTGGAATAAGTTTATTTTTACATAGACATGATCAGGGAAGAGAATTTATCATTTTACAAACAAAAAAAATGATTTTTTGGGAACACTTGATTTCATGCGCACAGGGGGGAATGTCACAATAAACTCGGCGCATCACAGTGGTTAAGAGTGGAATATGATCAATGAAACAAAACATGCCCAAAGAGAATAGAAAAGGCAGCCACAATGGCAAGCAGAGGCAGAGCTCTGAATTTTAACTACTGGAAAATACACTGGTCAGCAGAAGATCCACTCAGGGAAGATGAGACATGGAGAGCAAGATTTGTGGACTCTACACATCCTGTGGCAGCATTTCAAGGAGCTGATAAAAGAAAGTACTTGTGATCTACCAGTTATCCTAGACCTGATGTTTACCTAAAAAAAGATGATTTATTTTACATATGAAATACTGAAATAATTTTTTTTAGACCAATATCAATCCTTCCCACCATGTCCAAAATCTTTGAGAAACTTGTGTACAATCAGCTCTATTCCTTTCTCAATAAGCACAATATACTCAATTCAAACCAGTATGGCTTCAGGCTCTATAAAATCACCAGTGATGCTCTTGTAAATATGCTTAACCTAATACATGCAGCTCTTGACAAAAATGAGTACTACTACATAGATCTGTTGACTTATGTAAGGCTTTTGACACTGTTAACCATAATAACTTTCTCAAACTCCAACACTATAGAGTCAGAGGTCACTCCCTTCAGTACTTGAAATTTTTCTTTGGTGACAGGCAGCAGTATGTTTCAGTGAACGATGCTTCTTCTCCACTCTCTCATTTAACATTGGTGTCACAGGGTAGTTTACTTTGTCAAGTCCCCTCTCATATATATCAATAATCCTCCAAATGCCACACAACATTTGAAGCCAATTCTATTTGCTGACAATGCAAATAGAATTACTAAAGTATTACTTAAAACATTTCTAAAATGGTAGGCATTCTCTTTAAGGTCAGGTACTGTGTTCCTCGCCCTGCCCTAGTTTCTCTGTATTATTCACTCACTTATCTATATCTCGCCTATGGTATATAGCCTGGGGATCCACCACCCTTAATTACATCCAACTCCTAATTACTCAACCAAAATCAGTAATTAGAACAATCACAAACTGCATTCCCACCCATCGCTCTGCTCCCTTACTGAAATTCTTGAATATGTTAAATATCAAGTCTCTGTACATACTCTCGAATGTTCTCTATACAGTATCCACTCAATTTAACGACCTCTTTTATACCGATCTGCCGGTAATAACGACCGGTTTGGGAGATCAGTATCTGGAGCCTCGTGTACCGGTTTGGTGGTCGATATTACCGACGGTCGGTATTGGGTTTGTTCTAGCATCAGCAGCCCCTCATGTGGCGATCAGGCCACCGACCTCGATCAACCAGAGTGGTATATTAAATCTTAACTTTCTTTTAAAATGATTCAGTTTTATGAAGAAAATTCTAAATTATTATTAATAAAATATTTTAAAACAATTGTTATTAAGCAAAATTCTTTGTTTTCTTATTAAATACCTTTTATAGTATAGGTAATAGGTATTTTTTTTCCCACGGACCTAGAATGTACTGCACCTGGCCATGTGACCGCATTGTTTACTGTGAACTTGCGCGGCTGAGAGCAATGTCTCAGAATATTAGCCAGAAAAAATCAGATTCAGAGAAAAATAGATAAATTCATGATTTCAACGGTTCGTGAAAGCACCCACTGGGAATTCAACAAGTTATGCAGCATCCGCTGGCAACGAGTGCCCTACAAGCTATGCTGCATCCGCCGATGCGGAATTCCCATCAAAAAGTCGTGCAGCCTCCGCCGGCAACGAATGCTCTGCAAGCTATACTGCACCCGCTGATGCTGAATTCCCATCGACAAGTAATGCAGCCTCCGCCAGCAACGAATGCTCTGCAAGCTATGCAGCACCCGGCGATGCTGAATTCCTATCAACAAGTCGTGCAGCCTCCGCCGGCAACGAATGCTCTGCAAGCTATGCTGCACCCGCCGATGTTGAATGCCTATCGACAAGTCGTGCAGCCTCTGCCGGCAACAAATGCTCTGCAAGCTACGCTGCATTCACCGATGCTGAATTCCCATCGACAAGTTGTGCAGCCTCCGCCAGCAACGAAGGCTCTGCAAGCTATGCTGCACCCGCTGATGCTGAATTCCCATCAACAAGTCTTGCAGCCTCCGCCGGCAACGAATGCTCTGCAAGATATGATGCACCAGCCGATGCTGAATTCCCATCGACAAGTCATGGCGCATCCACCAGCAACGAATGCTCTGCATGCCATGTTGCACCCACTGATGCTGAATTCCCATCAAAAGTCGTGTAGCCTCCACTAATGATGTAAAATATGATTGAAAGGCATATAAAGTAAGTGTAAAAAGTGTTGGTAGAGTACAGTATTGTAAGTGTTAATAATTATTTAAGCCTTGACAAAAAGATACTGTACAGTGTAAATATACAGTAGAAATAATTTTCAATTGTGAATTAGAATTAGAACTCATGTGAATTAGTAGTAAGGTTAGCTGTTTTGTGAAGTGAATGCCTGAAAATAAGTGTACATACTGTATGTACCCTGTATACAGTACTGAACAATATAAAACAAGTGCTGCAGAGGATGATGTAATCTTTACAGCTTCGTAATCTTCAGCTTCATTAAAAGTAAGTCAATTTACCAATTTTATTATAGTATTTCAACATTAATTATTTTTCTGTGGGGAGCCCCTACGGCTCCCTGGAGCTTATTGGGCTAATGTATGTTATGTTAGACCGGGACATTAGCTATGGAATTCAGACCTACCAGGGACCAGTGCCAGAACCTGGCCCCTTCAGAGAGGTTTCAGGGAGCAATGGCCCTGGAAAACCCCATATGGTTGGGGTTTTTCCTTATCTGCCATCGACCGGGGTCAGGCACCCAGAAAGGTAGGCATTACAAAACAAACCCCACATGGTAAAAACTACAACAAAAACCGAACAGAGAGGTAGAAAACTCCCTACAATCCCAAAGAACAACAAACAATCAATTTACTGCCACGCCGGTCGTCTGTGCAGCCCTCCCCCCCCCAGGAGGGGGAGGGGGGCCCTGGACCTCACCGCGCCAGCTGCCTTCAGTTCACAAGCTAGTGTCAACTGGGATAGACGCTTCTCTGGCCTCAAATTCCTGGGTGGTGTTTGCCTCGTGTGGCGTTCTCTGCTGTCTTTGTGTATTGTGTGGTGGCCAGGAGTACCTCATCAGTACCAGGGGTGCATGCGCCTAGGGGTTTCCTTTCCTAGGCGCCCTGTGAGTACTGCCCTTGCGTGTCAGGGTTATCTTCTCTGGGGCGTTCGAGAACCGCTCCCGTAGGGTTTCTTGCTGCTCGGCATTTGCCTTGCCCTTGGGGCCAGCTGGGGCTTGGGGCCCTTGTTTGTCCTTGGGTAGGGAGTGGTGGTTGTGCTGGTTAGGGCGTCAAGGTGTTGCGCGGCCTGCCACCTAAGCGGCGACCGGTTTCTGTTGCCTCTGGAGACGGTGTACTTTTGTTAGGTTTTTCTTTTGTTTTGTTTTTGTTTGCCTGGTGGAGGTTCTGCCTCGTGGGTCTATAGTCCCCCTGATATTGTTTTGGTGGCCCTCTGCTAGGCCCCCATGCTTGTACACGTCCCTGGGGATTTTCAGTGTTATCATCTACCCTTGTTGTTGGGTTTCTCAACCGGTAAGCAACACCTTGCCCGGGCTTTCCATAGTTGCTAACCTACGGGCCCTGGAAACCCCCGTCGGGGCTCGGGGACCCATGGATGTGTCTCCCAAGTTCCAGCCTACCTTGTGGGGGGTTTGAAGGTTGCAGTGTGCCCTTGTCTCAGGGTGACAGTCACCTGTTTTGCCTCCGTCATGCTGCCTGTTGGGTCAATGACACCTTTGACCCGGAGTCCTGCGAGTCATGTTCTCTGCTTGTGCTCCAGTTTTACTCTGAGGATGTTTCTATTAGGGTACAGGCAGCATCAGCGTTGCATGTTAGGTTTAGGTTATTGCAACGCGCTAGGTTAGTTTCCCACCCGGATGCCCCGAGGCTGCCCCGTTTTGGCTTTAGGGACCCTGACCTGGGGGCGTTGGTCGCTATGGCTTTGGCTCCAGCCGCGCCCCCTGGTCCTTCCCCTGTGGTTCTTCCTGCACGTCTCCCCCTGTGTCCGGCTCCAAAACGTCTGAGGGTTTCGGCTTTGGCACAGGGTTTAGTTGGTAATGAGACTTGGGCTGCTTCGGGGGCTGCCCCATCCGGGTCGGGGACGGAGGGATTTGAGCCGGTTCCTCCTGCCGAGGCTTCTGGGTCCCGCCAGCAGACCCCCCTTCTTGTCTGCCTTTCCCTTGGACTCTGCCTTTTCTTCAGGGGTAGAGGGTTTGGAGGACGGCTCTGCTGCGGGTCCCAACGAGGGATATCCTGGGGCTGGGGAGGAGTCGACCTAGGGGCCTTGGGCCCCCTGTGACCCCGCTTGGGTGCTTTTGCC